AATTTCTACACATTAAGTAACTCCGTTCAATCTACAACCACTAGACACACCCCTCTCTTCTATATCTACAAAACTCGCCTCAAATTAATCCAGACAAGCATAAAAATAACAGGTCCTAAAATTTGGACAGAACTTGTACCTCCCCATCTAAGAGCCATCATAAACCTACAACATTTCAAGTCAAAATTCCGTGCTTTTTTATTGACACTGGATCTCGAATCCACCACCTAATATTATATTAAGAATACGCTAGAACAAATGATGCGGATGAATGGTCTTTATGAATGGTTAAACATTTATGTGTTTATATATGTACTGAGCGAACATTTACATAGTTATATGTCTATATATGTATGACACGAACATTTACTTATTTATCTTCAATTATCTTTCTGCTTCAGTTATTTTCCTTATTTTATTTCATTAACTATTCATGTATCTACCTGCGGTGGCCACCACAAGACAAACAGTCTTATTCGGTCTCCGCATATTCAACTTCATAACTTTTATTCACTTATTTGATATGTTGTTGATTATGAATAAAACTTTGAAAAAACTTTGAAATATATATATATATATATAATACGTATATACTCATATAAATACACATAATAAAAAGCAAATTAATAAATAATAAAATAATTTTTCATTTGATATATGTTGAGTATTTGAATTTTTAAGAATGAATTATTGCGAATGTTAAATGAAATGTGACGTTGCCAATCAACAAATAAATTGAACGTGAAAATTGTTCATCACTTCGCAACAACATTGGCTCCATTTTCTTCGTCGGAGTTTCCATCATAATTATCTTTTTCGTCATTTTCTTGTTCATTTTGTTCTGTTTCGAAGCTTCCTTTAAGTATGTCTACCTTGTCTGTGGTATTTTACGAGGAGTATCCAGTAAGAATTTAAAAATTCTTACTGGATACTGATACAGATATTGAAAAATAAATCTTTTCTTTCTTCCATATGTTGTTGAATTTAAATTCATCTACTTAAAATAGTTGTATCGAGTTTTTATTCCAACAACTATTCGTCCTAAGTTCATTTTGACAAAGTCAATATTTCTCTATATAAAAAACAAGAAGCACTGGTGATGATTCATTCGGAATCGAAATATGGCCTTATTTGCAGCAAGAATTCGAAAAATAAATTTATTTTGAATTTTAATAAACTAAACGTCCACCAAAAAACTTTAGTGAGAAAAATCGAAAAAACGAACTACAAACATATTAACGCCAAACATTCGGTAGAATTTATAGAATATTGTAAAAATATATATATATCTATATATATATATATATATATGATATATATATATGATATATATCTTATGATATATATATATATATATATATATATCATAAGAATACGATGCATAAACAGAGTGGTGCTATCAAATCTCACTTGGACTCAACACACTCAATCACAATTAGCCGTGAAATCCTCGACAGCAACACCAAAGTAATATACCAGAACAGCAACTACACGCATCTTAAAATTGCAGAAGCAGTCCTAATCGACATCAATAAACCAAAAATAAGTATACAACAAAAAATGACAACTTCACTTCCAACCCGGCGCTTAACCAACAACGAAAACAAGAAGTAATAAAAACTAGCATCGTAAATAGTGACAAAGAAGAATATGATGCTATCGATGAAGAAAATGAGACCAAAGAAGACGACCAGCCAGTTAAGAAACCTGACACCTAATTCGCATCAAAGTTCAATTGGTTAATAAAAGTTAATTTTTACAACGTCAAAGTTAATCTTGACAAAGTCAATATTTCCCTATATATACAGCAAGGAGCACTGACGATGATTCATTCGGAATCGAAATATGGCCGTATTTGCAGCATGAATTCGAAAAATAAGTTTATTTTAAATTTTAATAAACTAAAAGTTCACCAAAAAACTTTAGTGAAAAAAATCGAAAAAACGAACTACAAACATTAACGCCAA